TTTCAGTTAACTGCCCTCCGTGCCCAGGGGCAGCAGTGCTGTGGGAGATGCTGCACAGGGTGGGCAGAGATGCAGCCGAGCTGCAGCAGCCACTGCAGCACCCCCAGGAGCCCCCAGGGCCCCTGAGGGGGGAACAGACCCTCGAGGTCAGCAATCCAGCCTCTGGAGCTCTGCCAGGGCCACCTGTCACAAGGGTCACCTGCTGGAAGCACCCAAGTGTGGAGACACGAAGCTTGACTCTCTTTTCAGAAGGCTGGTTTATTGTATTATGATATCTATTATATTATATATGATATCTATTATATATTATATATATTATATTAAAATATTACATTAAAACTATACTAAAAGAATAGAGAGAAAAAGATGGTCAGAAGGCTCGAAAGAACAAGAACAGAATGCACAACAAAATCCTGTCACTGCTCCAAGCCCTGGCAGAGGTGGCTGTGGTTGGTCATCAATGGAAACAATCCACATGGAGCAATGGAAGATGCACCTGTTGCATCCCACAGCAGCACACAGTTATTGCTGGCATTTCTCTCCCGAGGCTCCTCAGGAGGGAAAAAAACCTAATAAAGGATTTTTTATAAAATATCATGGCTACAGCCGCACACAGAAAGGGGGATGTCTGTGGTGGCAGCAGGCTCCAGCTTGGATGGCCAAAGGAGGGCAGAGGGGTGGCACCACAGCCAAAATGGGGGTGAGAGAAAAAATTGCTGCAGGTGCTTCCAAGGGAGGGAAACCCATAAGTTCTCAGTGGGCAGATGGCAGGCAGGCTGAAAGCTCGGGCAAGAGACTGCCTCAGGGGGTCCAAACCATCCTCAGACCCCTCCTCAAACACTTCCAGAGCAGGAGTCACTCCAGAGACCTAAGGGGGACCTGGGAGGGTCTTGGCCAGAGGGGACCCATGGGGCAGATACAGCCTGGAAAGAGCAGATGGGTGAATCCTGCTGGCCCTTTTGGGTTTACCCCAGCACAGGGAGGAGCTGGAGCTGCTGAGAGAGCCCAGAGGAGCCCCAGGGCTGGAGCCAGGCTGGGAGAGCTGGGGTGCTCACCTGGAGAGGAGAAGCTCCAGGGAGAGCTCAGAGCCCCTGGCAGGGCCTGAAGGGGCTCCAGGAGAGCTGCAGAGGGACTGGGGACAAGGGCTGCAGGGACAGGAGCCAGGGAATGGCTGCCAGTGCCAGAGGGCAGGGCTGGATGGGATCTGGGCAATGAGGAATTGTTCCCTGGCAGGGTGGGCAGGGGCTGGGATGGAATTCCCAGAGCAGCTGGGGCTGCCCCTGGATCCCTGGCAGTGCCCAAGGCCAGGCTGGACACTGGGGCTGGAGCAGCCTGGCACAGGGGAAGGTGTCCCTGCCATGGCAGGGTGGCACTGGGTGGGATTTGGGGTCCCTCCCAACATGGACAAATGGGAATTGGGGAGTTCCACCTTGGAATCAGGAGCCCCTTAGATCCACAGATGCCTCTGCATTTGGGAACTTTGGCTGGAAAAGAGAGGTGCCACGGTCAGTCCGAGGGTGGTGAATTCCCAGCTTGTGGCAGGGAGAGCACGAGGAGCCCCTTTGGTGCTGGAGCAAAAGCAATCAGCGTGACTGAGCTGCCTGGCAGGGGAATTCATTCCAAAATATGCCAGCCTGGAGAGAGCTGGGTGAGGGATGAGGCTGACGATGCGAGCCCTCAGTTAACGGAATGGGGCTTTGTTCCATGCTGGCAAGTCAGGGCTGGCTGAGGGACAGCCACGGAACTGCCACCAAATCCTGGGCCATGGAACTGCCACCAAATCCTGGGCCACGGGACAGCCACCAGCTCCAGGGCCATGGAACTGCCACCAAATCCTGGGCCATGGATCACTCACCAGCTCCAGGGCCATAGGTCATGCCAGGCTGGCTCTCCCGTGCCAGGCTGAAGCTCTTTGGAGCCATAGATTGTGCCAGGCAGGTCTCCAGGGACAGGGATTGTGCCAGGCTGGCTGGCCCTATGCCAGAGCATCCTCCGTCCCCACAGCCCCAAAGGGAGCAGTTCCTGCTCTGGAGCAAAGGAGGAAAAGGACAAAGTGCCCTCCCCTGCCACAGGAAGGCGTTGGTCCCTCAGCTCTGACTCTATAAAAGGGAGCAGTTCCTGCTCTGGAGCAAAGGAGGAAAAGGACAAAGTGCCCCTCCCCTGCCACAGGAAGGTGTTGGTCCCTCAGCTCTGACTCTGAAGTTTCTGTGATCGTTTGGCAGAAGGTAAAACCCAGGAGTGGGGAAATGGGGGTCCCCAAGGGGACACAGATCACCACTGCTGGGAGCTGCTTCCCCGAAAAAACCCCAAATCCAGCAGCTCTGAGCATGTCATGAGGGTTTAGGAGGGATTAGGAAGGGATTAAGAGGGAAAGCTTTTAACGTGAGCTGTCCCTGTGCCCGTCCTGCAGGGGCAGCAGGATCATCAGGGCTCGGGGCAGGGGGAGCACAGGCCACCCCCAGCTCAGACACCCCGGTGAAATCAGTTTGGGGTTAAAACAGGCCTGTTGGGATAATTCACAGCGGAGGCGCATTAGCCAGATAAATCTGCTTGAGGGAGTGAAGGAGGAGGACTAATCACTCCGGGATGAAGGCTTGGGATAATCTCCCAGGGAGCACTTAATTGGGCATTGAGGTGTGGGGGTGCAGGCTCCAAGCAGCCTGCTGTGCTTTGGTCCTGGCCCTGGGGGCAAACACCACCGCCCTCGGTGCTGCAGGGCATGGGCAGGGACCCGAGGCTGCACAGCACCGCTCACCTGGCCCTGACCTCAGGTAAAGGTGTTCCTGGGCTGGAGTCAGGACTCATCCCAGCATTCCCAATGCCCCAGAGAAAAATCCCAGTGGCGTTTGGCCCCGGCAAGGGTCAGCTCAGGCCAGCTGAGGGCACAGGAGCTGCCACAGCTGATTCCTGCCACAGGAATCACCACGCTCGTGTTTTCACAAGGCCAGGGCTCCCAAGCCCCCAGTGCTGACAGACCCCCCAGTGCAGGGGGTCCTGCAGCAGGAGCCACCCTCCCTCCCGGGAGCCCTGTGACACCCCCAGGACACCAGGCTCGGGTACCCCAGCCCGGAGTGTCTGGGCTCGGGAAGGAGCTGGCCCTGGACCTTGTCCTCGCAGCCCTCGAGGGACACGCGGGGCTGTGGCACCACCAGTCTGGGGGTCTCAGCTGCCCCACTCGGGAGCTGGGGGTCTCACAGGCAGGCCCCCAGGGAATACACGGGGCTGCGGCACCACCAGTCTGGGGGTCTCAGCTGCCCCACTCGGGACCTGGGGGTCTCACACAGGCAGGCTGATGTCCCCTTAGGTCCCAGCTGGACCTAAGGGCAGTGACACCAGCCGAGGCTGAAGGTGACTGGCAGGGCACAGGGAGCCGATGGTCCCTGCGTGTCCCAGCCCAGGCGGTTCCAGGATCCTCAGACGTGGGGGATGAACCCCAGGCACTCACGGCACCTCTGGCCCTGGACACCAGTGACACCCCCAGGCAACTGGAACCTCTCCTGCTCGCTGTCCCTGGACACCAGGTCCCTCATCCTGCACTGCTCCCTCATCCCCAGTGCACACAGTGACAGTCCCCTGGCTCTGGCAGGACAGGAACAAAGGCATGGATGCCACCATGCCCCGAAAATCTGAATTTACTTGGAATTGTGTGAACTCACCTCAAACGCTGAGCTTTCCCTCAGGAGCCTGAGCAGCAAGAGTGGCTACAGCTCAGCCCTGGAGCTCCAGCCCACAGCCAGAGGTGTGGGGCTCACTTGCAGCAGGTGGAGGCAGCCACAGGTCATGGAATCAGTTTGGGCTGAGGGACCTTTAAAGCTCCCCCAGTTCCACCCCCCTGCATGGGCAGGGACACCTTCCACGAGAGCAGGGTGCTCCAGGTCCTGCCCAGCCTGGCCTGGGACACTTCAGTGTGAAGGTGACACCGCCAGAGCTGGCCCCAGAGTGCTGAACCACTCATTCCTGCTGAGGACCCTCGGGGCCACTCCTGTCCCTGTCACCACCGGGTGACTTCACGTTCTGCGTTATTACCAAAGCCACACCCAGCACGTGCTGCAGCAGCACCGGGAAGGCAGACACAGCCCAGAACACACCAACAGTGGCCTGGGACACAGCAGGGGACAGGAGCAGCTGCAGTGTCCCTCTTGTGCCGTGACCAGTGCCCCCAGCAGCACACCCCTGAGCCCACACCGGTCCCAGTCTGCACCGCACACAACCCGTTTCAGCTCACACACAGGTGGTTCCACTTTCCCAGCATTTATTCCTCCCACACCCCAGCGGTGTCAGAACTTCTGGAACTGTTTCTTGGTGCCTGCAGCCTTGGTCACCTTGAGCACGTTGAAGCGCACGGTCTTGCTGAGGGGGCGGCACTCGCCCACGGTCACGATGTCCCCAATCTGCACGTCCCTGCAGTGACACCTGGCCGTCAGGGAGCTCCTGGGGCTCACCTGGCCCTCAGAGCCCCCTCCTGGGACAGGCAGGGCCTGGAACCTGGGAACCTGCCCCGTGTGGTTCAGTGGATGCCAGTGGCATTGTCAGCAGCCCCTCACGCGGGGGACTCTGCAGACCATCGTGAGTTTGAGCATCATAACCTGTGAGCAGGTTCCAGGCGAGGACGGGCCGTGAGCCCGCCCAGGAGGGGGCACAGCCCGGGGGGGGACAGGCACGCACCTGAAGCAGGGGGACAGGTGCACGGACATGTTCTTGTGGCGCTTCTCGAAGCGGTTGTACTTGCGGATGTAGTGCAGGTAATCGCGGCGGATGACGATCGTGCGCTGCATCTTCATCTTGGTCACCACCCCTGCGCCAGCCAGGGACACACGCTGAGACACGGGGGGCTCCCGCCCTGTGGCACCTGGCAGCAACACGCCCCGGCCCCAGGGACCCCTCCTCGCTTACTGGCAGCACAGTGCCAGCCCACAGCTTCTGCCACAAACCCACTGTGGCTCTTCTCCACACCCTTCTGCCCCAGCTCCCATCCCGGCCCCACCTGCCCCCCTGGTCCTGTCCCTGCATCAGTGAAGCCATGTGGCAGTGTCGTCAGGCCCGCGCGGGCTCGGCAGACCATCGTGAGATTGCCATCATCTGCGGGGCCAGGACCGGCTACAGGGACCTCGGGGGGTTGGGTTACCTTGGCTACCTGCCCCACGTCTGCCACGGGACTCCTCTGGGGATGCTCCAGCTCACCTGAGAGTATGCGGCCCCGGATGGAGACGTTGCCCGTGAAGGGACACTTTTTGTCGATGTAGGTGCCCTCGATGGCCTGCAGAGACAGGCGGCTGTCAGGGGGGCACCAGAGCCCACAGAGCACTCAGACACAGGTGGGGAAAAGCCACCAGAGGCCTCGAGTCCACGCAGCACTGCCAAGGCCACCTCTGACCCCATCCCACTGCAGGGCCACCACGGCCCCCCGCCCAGGCCCCCTCACCTCCTTCGGGGTCTTGAAGCCCAGCCCCACATTGCGGTAGTAGCGGGGCAACTTCTCCTTGCCCCCCTCGCCCAGCAGCACCCGCTTCTTGTTCTGGAAGATGGTCGGCTGCTTCTGGTAGGCGCGTTCCGTCTGGGGGTGGGGACAGCGGGGGGTCAGCACGGGGCCGGCACCGGGGGGAGCGAGCCGCCGAGACCCCCGGCAAGCGAACTCGGCACCGAGAGTGAGCCCGGCCCCGGGGCACCGAGCCGCTGCCGCGCCTTCCCCGCAAAACCCCGGGGCACCCAGAGCAGCCCCGGGACACCGGCCCCTCTGCCCTCCCCCAAACCCCGGGCACCGAGGGGTCCGCTGCCCCAGCAGCTCGGAGCACGGCACCCTCTGTCCTCCGCCGCCGCCCCGGTGTACCGAGAGCCGCCCCCTCCCCGAAAGCCCTGCGGCCAATCGAGAACCCCCCGCCCTCGCCGGCTCCGAGATTCCACCCGCACTTCGCTCCACCGACCCCGGGGAACCGGGCCCCCGCGGGGAACGGGCCTCCGCACCCAGATCCCCCACACCTCCCCTCATCATCCTCCCACTCCCCGGGCCGGGCCGCGCCCCCCATCAGCGCTGGGCCGGTATCATCCTCTCAGGGTCCCCCCGAGACTGTGCCGCGCTGTCCCGGGGCCGTGCCGGGGCCGTGCTGGGGCTGTCCCGGGGCCGTGCCGGGGCCCCGCGCAGCACCCACCTGCGTGTCCGCCATCTTGGCGAGCGCGGCCGGAAAGAGGCCGCGGAGCGCGCGGGGCGCGGGTTAACCCGGGGCGGGGCCAGGGGCAGGAAGTGACGTCACGCTGCCGGTGTGAGGCGGCGGGGCCGGAAAGGCGGAAATGCTGCCGGAATTCCTGAGGGGAGCGGGAGCGGAGCGGCCCCGAGAGCTCCGGGGTGCCGGCTGTGCCCTCCGTGTGCCCAGCCCGGAGCACTCAGTATTCCCTGCCCTGGACATGCTCCTCCGTGTCCTTCCTGAATTAAGGGACCCAGAAGTGGCTCAGCCCTCGAGGTGTGGCCTCAGCAGTGCCAGCACAGGGGACAATCCCTGCCTCGGTGGCCGCAGTGTCTCTGGTACAGACAGGAGCTCGCATGGGGCAAAACCCCGCAGAGGTGAGTGGGAGTTGGTCACGGACGGATTGGCAATTGTGAAAAGGCTCGGCTGAGGGCTGGACCTGCACATAACAGGGGCAGCACCCCAGGCCTGGCTGCACGTCCCTGTGCTGGCTGGCTGACGGTGCACACTGCTGGGGACAAGGGGGGATACAGCTCACCCCACTCTCCTCCCCGCAGTATGCACCGTGCAGCCGGAGGAAAGCTGGACACTGACTGGAATAAACACGTGAACTACTGAAATCCAGACACTGTCCAGTGCCAGTTCCCACAGGTCACACAGCCCGGGCGTGTTTGGGGCACAGCATGGAGCCGTGGCCCAGAGGGTGCCCCCAGAACGCCCAGCAGACACCAGCCCTGGGGCTCCGTCCCCTTCAGCCCATCCCACCCCCATCCTCATCATCCTCATCCCCATCCCCTCCCAAGCGTGTGCATCTCCCCCTCACCCCAGGAACAGCAGGAAGCCGCTGTGTGAGGGCCACGAACGGTCCCAGGGGTGTCCCCAGGGGTGTCCCCAGTCAGTGCTGGATGGAAACTGCGGTGGTACCTGGGCCCACACATGGGGCACCAGGGCTGGCACCTGCTCCACGAGCTGCCCGCTGTCCCTGAGAGTCACAGCCTCACCCCAGGGCCCCCGGAGCCGGGGGAGCAGGCACTCAGGGGCGTCTCAGGCCAGCAGCAGGACGCGGTCACCCTGGCCAGCCCCCCAGCCCTGCACAGACCGGGGAGGCGACGCCCTCAATCAGACCCTTTATTCCCAAGGGTTGTACACGGCACAGACACACATCCCCCTCCCCATGCACAGCCCCCCCAGCCCCAGCCCCGGGGGTTGCATAGAGAGCGGCCGGGTGGGGCCGAGGGGGGCAGAGCCAGCCCGCCCCGCGCCCCCCGCCCTGCGAGCCCCGGGGGCCCCAGGGTCCTGCCCTGCTCCCCCCGGGGCGCCGGGCGGGGCCGGCCTCTCGTGTCCAAAGTGCGGCCCGGCCTCGGCCCAGCTCCGCCCCAATAAATTAAAAAGGTCCGAGTCCGGGTTAAAAAGGGGGCGCGGGGCTCACTCCTCGGGGGGCTCGGTGAGGAACGGGGAGGTGACGGCGTGGGCCTGGGCGATGGCCGCCAGCTCCTTGAGGAACTCGCTGAAGATGACGGCGCAGTAGACGGCGTTGCGCACGCGCAGGGCCTCGCCGTGCCGCGCCGGGGGGGCCAGGGGGTGCAGCCCCCCGTCCCGCAGCCCCTGCAGCGCCAGCTGCGCCGCGTGCCGCGCGCGTGTCGGGCTGTTGGCGTGGCGCAGCAGCAGCTCCCCCAGGGACGGCTTCCTGCTGCGGGCTGGGGGACACGGGGGGGATCAGGGACACCGGGCTGGGGGGGACGGGGGCACCCAGCCCCCAGCGCAGCCCCCAGCCCGGACCCCAGGGACAGCTCGTGGGCACCCAGCCCCCAGCACAGCCCCCAGCCCAGACCCCAGGGACAGCTCGTGGCTGTGCACACACAGGGGATGGCACCCAGCCCCCAGAGCAGCCCCCAGCCCAGACCCCAGGGACAGCTCGTGGGCACCCAGCCCCCAGCGCAGCCCCCAGCCCGGACCCCAGGGACAGCTCGTGGCTGTGCGCACACAGGGGGTGGCACCCAGCCCCCAGCCCAGGCCCCAGGGACAGCTCGTGGCTGTGCACACACAGGGGATGGCACCCAGCCCTCAGCGCAGCCCCCAGCCCCCCACACCATCTCCAACCCTCCTCACCACACAACACACAACCCCCAGGCCCTCTCACCAGGCCCTGCATAGACCCCGCACCCCACCCAGACACCAGACTCCCAAAGCAACCCCCAGCCCTTGTACACTGCAGCATGCAGCCTACTGCACACCCCAAGCCCCCTGTGCAGCCCCCAGCCCCTACACAACACACAGTGCAGCCCCCAGCCCCACGTGCCAGTCCCAGGGGCCTGCAGAACCCGCAGCCCCCCACCCACGGCCGTGTCCTCACCCAGGGTGTCCGTGCGCCGCAGGGCAGGGACAGCCCCGGGCCCCTCAGCCCAGTCCAGCCGCCCCCGGGCAATCAGGTACTTCTTGGCCTTGAAGAGCAGTGCTGGGAAATCCTCTTGAGTGGCAGCAAAGCTCTCGATCTTGTTCTTCACCGAGCCCAGCACCTGCAGGACCACAGCACCGGGGTCCCCACAGGAACAGGGGTCCCCATCAGATGGGGTGTTCCCTTGAGCACAGGGTACCCCCACAGGAAAGGGGGGGTCTCCACAGTAACAGGGGATCCAAAGGGGGTTACAGCCATGGGGGACATAGGGCAGGGGTGGGCAGGGCAGCACAGGGCAAACTCGGCACTCTCGACATTAAAAAGGGTTAAAACCCTTTCCAACACCTTCCCATGACTCCAGGAGGGCAGGGGCTCCCCAGGGGCCATACCTGGAGCAGGGACTTGACACTGGGCTGGAAGACCATGTTGGTGTTGAGCAGGAAGGAGCGGAGCAGGGGCTGGGGGTAGCAGGCCAGCTGGGCCACCAGCCCCGTCAGCAGGAAGTTGACATACAGAGAGTTGTGGGGCATGTTCTCCAGCTTCCCAAACAGCACTGACACGAAGGGACCTGGGGACACGGGGGGGGTCAGGCAGGGCCCCGCGGGGAGCTGGGACCCTCCGTGTCCCCCCGTGCCCACCTGTGAAGGGCTGGCTGGGGGGCGGCCCCACCGCCCGCGGCGGGCTGGCCACCACCTGCGCCAGGGGGTCTGGGGGCCGCGGCGGTGCCCGCCCGGCGCCCGCGTCCCCCTCGGGCAGCGCCGCGAAGCTGGCAAAGGCCTCCTCCTCCTCGTGGGACAAGGGCGGCTCAGGGGGTTCCGTGGGGGTGGCCGGGGTCCCCCCCACGCCCCCGTTCTGCATCTCGGCCTCAATCTCGCGCAGCTCCTCCGTGAAGGTCTCGATGGAGACGCCGGCACCAGGGGGCTCGGCGGGCACGCGGGCCAGCAGCTCCTCCAACAGCGAGTCCACCGAGGGCAGAGGCTCCCAGCCAGGGGGCTGCGCCCGAGGGGCCCCGTTCGGTGCCCCCCCGCCGCCCTCCCCCTCGCCCTGGGGGCTCCGACGGACCTTCTTCACCACCACGTCCCCCTCCGGCCGCCCCGGCTCGGCCGCCCCGTGCGCCCCGTTCACCAGCGTCCCCCCCTCCCGGGGCTCGGGGCCAGGTCCCCCCGCCCTGGGCTCATCGCCCGCGAGGGGCCCCCCCGGCGCCTCCCGCGCCCCCTCCTCGGGCAGCCCCCGCTTCTTAGTCCGTGGGGTGGGGGGCCCCGGGGGCCGCCCCGGGGGGCTGTCGGGGTCGGGCGTGGGGCCGGGGGCACGGGGGTCCTCGCCGTCGTAGGGCGCCGACCAGACGCGGCAGGCCCAGGCGCAGCGGTCGATGCTGTGCCGCGCGTCCCGCAGGTACTCCAGGTAGTTCCTGTCCAGCTCCGCCACCTCGTCCCGGGGCCCGGGCCGGGAGGGGCTGCCCGCGGGGGGCCCGGGGGAGCGGGGGGCAGCAGCCTCGGCGGGGGCCGCGCCG